CGTAGCAATATCACGATAACTGAAGAAATGAGAGACAAACGTATTTCCATGGCGTGATGGCGATTTTCGCCATGGTCCCAAAGCCCCGCCTTTTTTCAAAACCTGCCAGTACTGGAGACCAAGTAACCTCAACTTGTCTACTGCTGTTTGCCACAGAATCCTGGTGATTGGGTAAAAGGAGTCCAGTAGGGAGCTGTGAAAAAAAGAGTAGCGTGGCGACAGGTCAAAGTTTGAGGCTTAGCCACGCCCACACCTTTCAACTTTTGAAAAATCCGACGGTTGAATTTTTTCCCCTATGTCTTAAGGGTATATAGCAGAAGTTTGAAGGAGATTGGTGAAAAGGGCGACGGAGCATCACTCTCCAAACAACGTGTGCGAAAACCACTAAATCGCGTACTTGATCCAAAATGGCCGACTTCCTGTGCGACTTTGAACTTGACTCCAAGAGACTTTTTTGTAGGTCCTGAGACACCACATTAGTGTACCAAATTTCGTAATCCTCAGTCAAAGCATGGCTTGGGGCTAATAGTTTTAATGGTCCTAGGGGGCGCTATTTCAGAAAATAGGCCACGCCCACCAGATGTTCACATCAGATCTTTTGGGGGGCCGGACTAGGATCACTCACAAGAAGTTTCGTGACGATATCTTTGGAAATGACGAAATGGGAGGCAAACGTAAGGCCAAGGCGGTACGCCTGAATTCGCCGCGCCACCACAGCCCCGCCCTCTGCCGAAAACTCCCATAAAGTGACGCCAAGCAACCCCCACTTGTCTTGAGTTACCAGCTACAAATTTGTGGTGATTAAGTGAAATGGGGCAATTTGGGACCTTTCACAGTAAAACTTGATCTTTTTGGTCCTGAGGGGGCGGGGCTTGTGTGATGTCATCATCCGACCTTTCAATTTACTTTGTGGGTGGATGACGAATGACCACAGAAAGTTTGGTAACTCTATTCCATTCAGTTATGAAGTTATAGCAATTTAAATATTTTTGGCGAGTAGTCAAACTTCGAGGCCTGGCTCCGCCCCTTCAACATATACGAAAACTCAGAATCCTTATCTCATTTTGTTCGCCCATCCCTTCTGAGCAATTTTACACAATTTTTGAGACGATCGTGCGAAAAATGATCGAGCAATCCAATCAGAAACGGACCCTAAAAACGGCAAAAACGGCAAAAAATCGCCATTTCAACCCAAAATGGCCGACTTCCTGTTTGATATTGACCATGGTTGCAAGAGACTTTTCTGTGCGGACTGTTGAGTACTACAAGTGTACCAAATTTCATAACTGTACGATAAACTAAGCTTTATGGAGAGGGGTTTTTTTCACTTTGTAGGGGGCGCTGTTCAGCCATTTTCTTTGCGATTTTTTTGGGACCTTTAAAATATCAAATTTTTCACCAGGCCTGACAAGTGTGCAAAATATTGTGAGTTTTGGGGTATGTTAAGGTCCCCAAAAAGCTGTTCAAAGGGGGCACGGAATAACAAAAAATAATTAAAGCTGCAAGCAGCGTCGTTCGGCCCTCGCAGCTCCGCGCCGCTCCGGCCTGGCCGGCAGCCCGGGGCACCAGGGCATGTCTTGCAGAACAGAAACGTCAATCATCCCGTCACCGGAAACAGCAAATGGCCTCCTAGTCCGCACCTCACCCTGACTAAGCATCCCCTCTGAGCTCACCATTAAATTGAATTGTAAGGTTACGGCGTTACGCCAGAATTCGCCATGGCATCAAAGCCCCTCCCTTTCTGGAAAGCTATCAGATTTGAATGGCCATTACAGCATCATGAAGACAGTGCATGACCTAGGTGTCATGTTGACTAAATTAGAGGGGACAAATATGGGCATTTCAGCATAAAATAATAACTTCCTTTAGTCAGGGGGCGGGGCTTCGATGATGTCAGCTGTCCACATTGTCATTGTTTACAGATATGGTCAATGATCACACAGACAAAGTTCGAAAAAGATCTGATCATGCACATGGGAGTTATTAAGTCAAGTAATGGCGAAAGGTCAAAGTTTGAGGCTTAGCCACGCCCACACCTTTCAACTTTTGAAAAATCCGACGGTTGAATTTTTTCCCCTATGCCTTAAGAGTATATAGCAGAAGTTTGAAGGCGATTGGTGAAAAGGGCGACGGAGCATCACTCTCCAAACAACGTGTGCGAAAACCACTAAATCGCGTACTTGGACCAAAATGGCCGACTTCCTGTGCAATTTTGTGCTTGGCTCCAAGAGACTTTTTTGTAGGTCCTGGGACACCACATTAGTGTACCAAATTTCATAATCCTCAGTCAAAGCATGGCTTGGGGCTATAAGTTTAAATGGTCCTAGGGGGCGCTATTTCAGAAATTAGGCCACGCCCACATATTTCAGCTGTCTATGTCTCTTTGGGGTCAGACTAGGATCACTCACCAGAAGTTTCGTAACGATATCACGATAAATGAAGAAATGAGAGGCAAACGTATTACCATGGCGTGATGGCGATTTTCGCCATGCTCCCAAAGCCCTGCCTTTTTTTGAAACCTTCCAGTACTGGATACCAAGTGACCTCAAGTTGTCTACTGCTATTTGCCAGAGACTCCTGCTGATTGGGTAAAAGGAGTCCAGTAGGGAGCTGTGAAAAAAAGAGTGGCGCGGCGACAGGTCAAAGTTTGAGGCTTAGCCACGCCCACACCTTTCAACTTTTGAAAAATCCGACGGTTGAATTTTTTTCTCTATGTCTTAAGAGCAGATGGCAGAAGTTTGAAGGAGATTGGTGAAAAGGTGGACGGGGCATCACTCTCCAAACAACGTGTGCGAAAACCACTAAATCGCGTACTTGATCCAAAATGGCCGACTTCCTGTGCGACTTTGAACTTGACTCCAAGAGACTTTTTTGTAGGTCCTGAGACACCACATTAGTGTACCAAATTTCGTAATCCTCAGTCAAAGCATGGCTTGGGGCTAATAGTTTAAATGGTCCTAGGGGGCGCTATTTCAAAACATAGGCCACGCCCACAAAATTCAGCTGTCTATTTCTCTTGGAGCTCAGACTAGGATCACTCACCAGAAGTTTCGTAGCAATATCACGATAACTGAAGAAATGAGAGACAAACGTATTTCCATGGCGTGATGGCGATTTTCGCCATGGTCCCAAAGCCCCGCCTTTTTTCAAAACCTGCCAGTACTGGAGACCAAGTAACCTCAACTTGTCTACTGCTGTTTGCCACAGAATCCTGGTGATTGGGTAAAAGGAGTCCAGTAGGGAGCTGTGAAAAAAAGAGTAGCGTGGCGACAGGTCAAAGTTTGAGGCTTAGCCACGCCCACACCTTTCAACTTTTGAAAAATCCGACGGTTGAATTTTTTCCCCTATGTCTTAAGGGTATATAGCAGAAGTTTGAAGGAGATTGGTGAAAAGGGCGACGGAGCATCACTCTCCAAACAACGTGTGCGAAAACCACTAAATCGCGTACTTGATCCAAAATGGCCGACTTCCTGTGCGACTTTGAACTTGACTCCAAGAGACTTTTTTGTAGGTCCTGAGACACCACATTAGTGTACCAAATTTCGTAATCCTCAGTCAAAGCATGGCTTGGGGCTAATAGTTTTAATGGTCCTAGGGGGCGCTATTTCAGAAAATAGGCCACGCCCACCAGATGTTCACATCAGATCTTTTGGGGGGCCGGACTAGGATCACTCACAAGAAGTTTCGTGACGATATCTTTGGAAATGACGAAATGGGAGGCAAACGTAAGGCCAAGGCGGTACGCCTGAATTCGCCGCGCCACCACAGCCCCGCCCTCTGCCGAAAACTCCCATAAAGTGACGCCAAGCAACCCCCACTTGTCTTGAGTTACCAGCTACAAATTTGTGGTGATTAAGTGAAATGGGGCAATTTGGGACCTTTCACAGTAAAACTTGATCTTTTTGGTCCTGAGGGGGCGGGGCTTGTGTGATGTCATCATCCGACCTTTCAATTTACTTTGTGGGTGGATGACGAATGACCACAGAAAGTTTGGTAACTCTATTCCATTCAGTTATGAAGTTATAGCAATTTAAATATTTTTGGCGAGTAGTCAAACTTCGAGGCCTGGCTCCGCCCCTTCAACATATACGAAAACTCAGAATCCTTATCTCATTTTGTTCGCCCATCCCTTCTGAGCAATTTTACACAATTTTTGAGACGATCGTGCGAAAAATGATCGAGCAATCCAATCAGAAACGGACCCTAAAAACGGCAAAAACGGCAAAAAATCGCCATTTCAACCCAAAATGGCCGACTTCCTGTTTGATATTGACCATGGTTGCAAGAGACTTTTCTGTGCGGACTGTTGAGTACTACAAGTGTACCAAATTTCATAACTGTACGATAAACTAAGCTTTATGGAGAGGGGTTTTTTTCACTTTGTAGGGGGCGCTGTTCAGCCATTTTCTTTGCGATTTTTTTGGGACCTTTAAAATATCAAATTTTTCACCAGGCCTGACAAGTGTGCAAAATATTGTGAGTTTTGGGGTATGTTAAGGTCCCCAAAAAGCTGTTCAAAGGGGGCACGGAATAACAAAAAATAATAATAATCAGAGCAAAAACAAGAGGCCTTCGCAGCGCTTTCGCTGCTCGGGCCTAATAATAATCAGAGCAAAAACAAGAGGCCTTCGCAGCGCTTTCGCTGCTCGGGCCTAATAAAATGCAGTTTTAAAACCTTTAAAAAAAATGAAATTTAGAAGATAATGATTTCAGGGTTTCTAACAGTGTTGCAGTGTCCTTCAGCCGTGTGTAACTCTACCAACTGCCTTTGGGTACAAAACACAAAATCAAATTAATCAATTTATACTTTGGTAGAAAATAGGATCCAGATTTTTGGTAGCTGAATTTTTCTTTTGTAATCTAAAAGACTGAGAAGAAAAACCTGATTGACTGAGGGGATCATGAATCTACTAAGAGAAAATTCTGCAGCAGCAAAGTCAGATTTTAAAGTTTTTCTTTTAATATTGTCCAAATTTTTATTTTTTTCTGGATGTTTTCAGTGCAAAAGTGCCTTCAGGCTATTCGATTCATCCTGCCCAAAGATGCTGCGATGAAGGTTTGTGATTTTAAATGTTATCACCACATCACAACCACCCTAACCTTAAAGGTCCACAGAAAGACATTAGATTCATGACTGTTCAGAGACATTGTTTTTATTCCTCTTTCTTCTGCTAAATGTGCAGGTTTTGGTGAAGTGGTACAACATCTACAACGCCCCCGGTGGCTCAAGTGCTCATGCTGAGTGGAGCTTGTTTGTCACCTGTTTTATGACGCTGATGGGCTACAACACAGAGCGCCTGGCCTGGACTCGACATGTTGGTTCACTCTTGTGTATTGTGTGTTTGAATGTCCAGTTCACCAGTTAAACAAGTGAATTGTTGTTTATCTTTTCAGATTACATTTACATGTTGTATTTTTTCTGTCCTCTGCTCCTTTTTCCAAAGCTACATTTCGAAGTGCCTCTTTCTCCAGTTATCGCGGCTAAGAAGGCTCGTCACTCTGCTCAAGGCTACGAAGAGGTGCGTGTGTTTTGGAGATCAGGAATCATTATCGCAACAAATGAGTTGGAGGAAAAGTGATTTATAAAAAGTCTTTCATTTCAACAACCACAGCTCTCAATAATAAGGGAACTTCCTAAATTTTAGATGTTCTTATAGACGGTCTCTGAAGTGCCAATGTGTGTGGGATTATACGTTTACGTCAAAGACGTCAAATGTCTGGAACCTTTGGTGTCAGACAGTTTTTCAGTTCAATTTCAATTTAAATATAAAAATTTAAGGAACTAAATGCAAGACTTCCACAGTAATCACAAAACTGCCTAAGGTCTTAGTAATGTTGGAAGGAAGGTTATATTGAAATGGGTTGTCAGTTTTGCTTAAAGCCAGAACTGAAGCTAGTAAACAGGAACAACCCAGAAGTTATTTCTTGTAACCTTGAAGCCCTTCTTAGAAGACACACCATGCCAGCAAATCAGTGTAATACTGCTGCCACCGTGTGCCTTATGAAAGCCGTGGCAGCATGGCGATGCAGAACTATTGCGTCATTCATGCTGCATGCTTGGTAGTAGCGTTGCCGCAAAGCCTGACTCGTGAATGCATATTACGCCTTGGCGCAACAGAGGGAGGTGCCATGGTCACGTAAGTAAGTAATGCCAAGCTTAAGTCGGCAACTACATTAATAAATAAAAGTAAACACGGATCGTATGTTTCGCTTTTGTAAACAGAATCAGCCGAGATGGTAAACTGGAGCAATGCAGAGCTCCAGGAGCTTTTCTCTGTTAGAGCTGAAGCTCAGATCACCTGAGACTGAACAGGGACATTGGAGGACCGACAACTTTAGGAGTGGCTGTTGAAAAAAAACATAAGGAGCGCAGCTTTAATCACAATGAAACGCGTTATGTCCAAGCTAAAAGGAAGTTTGTGACAGCACAGAGAACGCCCCCATACCCCCTTTATACCGCCATTGTGCATTCTTTTGTAAAAAGGACGTGATTGTGCCACATTACTGCCACAGTCTGACCACTTATAAACAAACTAAAGCTCTCTGATGCCAGCTCAGTTTTGCTGCAAATTGGCAGCATTGTTTTATAAAGGAGGTTAAAGATCCTTTTGTTTTACTCAAATATCGGCTAAAGAAGGCTAGAGGCTAATGTTGAGCTAACAATGCTAACGGTGAAGTAGAAGCAAATAGTCAGCTCTAAAAATATCTTAAGCTACTTTTTAATCACGAACAATTCAGTATTATAGTGAAGTGTGTGTGTGAAGTGAAAAATGAGTCAGTCACCCAAGAGTGCTAGCACCACATATAATGTATTTATCTACTAATCAACTTACCGTGTATGACTCGTCTTTGCTTGTCATGTAGAATCTTCTGGTTCCGATCCATAACTGCCAACAGCCATGACACTCACAGAAGGGCAGTGACAAAGTAATATTTTGCTTAGAACTCAAATTTGACCACAGGATGTCATTCTCGCATATTACGCCTTTTAACCCTCCCACTGTCTTTATGGGTGACCCCACGAGAAAAGTTGGCCATTGAGCAGGATTGATGGTTTATTACTTGAGGTCCACGTGGCACGGGTGAGGTGGTGTTCATTCCTCACCCTTGCCACATGGACCCAAGGGATAAACCATCAACCCTGCTCAATGGTCAGCTTTCCTCATGTGGTCACACCCATTAGGACAGTGGGAGGGTTAATGACATATCACATTTATGGGAGTTAAATCAACACATTTCTGTGATGGGATTTATGCCGCACAGTGGGATGTAAACAGGTGTTGTGAAGAAGAAAACAAAAATGATAATGCTAAGTGAATAAATATTTATTTTAAACCGGTATATAACCTGAGTAGTGAATTGCAGTCACAACAGTCAGCTGGCCTGTTATATAACGTAAAACAAAATAAACTTTTAATCATTTCAGTTAAAAAAGGCATCAAAGACCAAATTTCCCACAACATCCCTTTTCATTCCCTTCCCTCTTCTTTCCCTGGAAGCTTGAAGTTTACTGACTGATATTAAATCAATACAGGTAGAGTTAGCATTCAAGCTAGCACCATGTTAGCCTGAAGCCAACGCAGCATGCAAAATGATCTCCACTATTATTTATTTATATATAAAAAATATATATATATTTATACAATACAATACATTACTTGGTATTTAAGTATTTTTCGTATGACTTAGTATTTATCCATCCTGAAGAAACTTTTTTCAACTCTTCATTAAGTTTGTAGATCACAAAGCTCTTGTCCATCCTTTACAATTCTCTCTTGTGTCCATTTTACTTTTGTAAACGTCTCGGGAGGAGTTTTGCAGAAGACTCCCAAAATCTTCTTTCAGAATTAGATGGCAATTGACAACTAGGCAACTTCAGTACTTGTTGTGTTTGCTTCACTAGAAACCTTTTTTCTGGCGTCCCCCCACTGTGCATGCTGGGAACAGAGGTGCGTTCTTGTTGATTGACAGCTCCCTCTTGTGGATCCGCAACCCTATTGGTCAACGCTTTAGGCTCATGTAAATGATTCATTTTGCTGTGGAGGCCAGAGGAGGGACTTAGGAGAAATCTAAATACCGTAAATCCTCTAATACAGGCCTGTATTCAATTAACGGCCGGGTCTCATATTTTGGCCGGTGCCGGAGTCGGCGGAGGTGAATAATGGCCGGTCTCTTATTGTGGCCGGGTGGAATGTGGTAACAAGCAAGTACGGGGGCGGTTGTGTCATCCGTCTCACTTTTGATTTGCCAGTGATAGACCACGAGGGTAACTTTAACCGTGCGGAGACGAAGAGGAGGCGAAAATTTGATATCAAGTTCAAAGAGAACATGCGCTGCAGAACACTGGGGAGCAATAGGGGTTGTATGAACTAGTCGACTTCACTATAGTGACTTTCTATGCCTGTCATCGAGTAGTCGCTGTCACGTGATAATGACCGGCAAGATGCAGCCCTCGGAAAAGACAGCAACCTTCTGTCAGCAGGTGACAAGCTCCTGCGCTCAAGGGGGCAACGCGCTGTGCCAGAGCGTCAGTACTGACACGCGATCGTTCATGTCGGTTCATTTCCTTTAATGTTTTCTGTCCTTTATTTGCGCCTGATGTGTTTTGCTGCTGTGGAGCGGGGCGCATCACCTTGTCCTCCGGTGACGCACCGATCACTGATGCGGCCGCCAAGCAGCGAGCACTCTGCTGTTTTTGCGGTCGGTAGATCTGCGTCCTGAGCACGGCCACAGTAACATAATCAAATCAGGTGTCGCCACCTCAAAAACTAATTTAACACGCGATCGTTCATGTCGGTTCATTTCCTTTAATGTGTTCTGTCTTTTATTTGCGCCTGATGCATTTCGCTGCATGCTGTGGAGCGGGGCGCTGCGCGCATCACCTTGTCCTCCGACGCACTGATCACTGATGCGGCCGGCAAGCAGCGAGCACTCCGCTGTTTTTGCGGTCGGTAGATCTTTTAGAACTGCAGTTCAAAGGTAACTCATAAGGTGAATATATATGAACCCAGGTAGCAGTTTCTCTTTAGGATTGAGAGGAGATGCAGGAAGATAATAAACAGGTAGGACAGAAAAATAGTCAAATAAAAACAAGTTAGTTTTTGTACCTGCTGGTTGCAACAAGACACCATTGAAGGTAATCAGAAGTGAGGAACAGAAAATGAAATAATTATTTTAATGTTTAGAGCAGCAGGAACTCCGAGAGGCTGCAGGCGCATCAGTGAGTTTGCGGCCGCTGCGCAGGGGGAGGGGGGGAGAGGGCTGAAGCAGAAACTACCATTGTTAAAAGAAATGTGTTTAACTTTGAAAATGTGGGCGCAATTTTAATTGTCAAAAACTCCAGCGAACCATTAGTTCATTTTGCTCAAATAGAAATGGAGGCCTGCCTCTAATTCTGGCCCTCCTTCCAATAAAGGCCTGGAGCTTGATGAGCTTGAGTCAAATACAGGCCCGGGCCTGTATTAGAGGATTTACGGTAGTAAAAGATGACTTACTTTAGATCATAGAACAGATTGTCACATTTAAGCATTTTTAAGTTACTTCAAATCCATGCACCCCATCTTAAATTCATTCACATTTATTTTTACTTTTGTATGTGTTAATTTATGCTGCACTCTTTACTATCTGTGACTTGCTCTTTAATTTAAACATTAAAACTAGGTCTTAATCCACGAAACACCCTTGTAGAATTGTCTTTAAAATGCCTCTAATTAAAGGCAATTTACCAAGTAATCTGTGTTTGTGTATGCTCCTATAAAAGCAAGCATGGCTGGAAAATGTCAATCAGCTGGAGGCTCACTTTGCTGCGGAAACTTGAGTCAGATTTGAGTTAAGCTACCATGTAGTTCATTGTAGTCGCTGAGAGCCATTGCTTTGTTTGAATATTTCAGACCTATAAAAAATAAACAAAAGCAGACCATTTATGTTGCTGGTTAACTCTCAGGGCTCACTGCTGGGACAGTCAATGAAGTCAGGTCTTGATCAGTTCAACCTGAGTTGGTGTTTTTCCTTTGATATGTCGACATAATTTCTTCCATTAACCATTAGTCATCCTCTTATAACTGTGTGTAATCATTTTATTTGTAATATTTATTTTTGGTTGTGTTTTGTCACCTTTTAATCCTTTTTAAAACTTGGCTTTCATCTATCCCCTCTCTCTGCAGGATTGGGACTACTTGTTGGCATCTCGTTACCATCGACAGATAATTTCCCAGCCTGTCTGTGCTTCAGTGGAATCCAGTGATATTGTTGCCACAGAAATGGGGGACTTGTCTTCTGTGCGTATCGCACGCTGTTTACCGCTTTTTTTGGCATGTTGTAAAATTTAGAGACTTATGTTTTATCCTTATGAATGCAAACATTTCAGGATGTCTCTTCCATTCTGCTTTAGGATAATAAACACAACTATAGTTCAACTGTATTACATCATAAAACTGTTATTTAGTCTGTTAATTTTAATAAAATGAAGAGTAATTATGAGCAATAATTGTTTAATACTTTATACAATGACTTTCATTCAGTATTTGTACTCTCAATAAATAAATAAATGGTTTAAAATAAAATTAAGATTTTTATATTTTTTAAAAATTAAAGAAAGTTAACTATTTTGCAAAGAAAGTATTTCTCTCCTTGTTCTTCCTGTACACCAGGCATCTTCCCCCGGTTCCTCTCTGAAGCTGGAGAGTTCAGCTCCTTTGTTCCCTCACATTCCCGCCCTGTTCTACGTTCTCCACCTGTTGTATCAGGAGCTGCAGCTGGACGAGCTGCACAGAGCTAAAGCTTCATCCCTGGTGTGTGTCCTTCAACAGCTGGCCAGGTACCCATCACAACATTGTACCTTATAGACATTAGCTTTGTTCAAGGACAGAACAAACTGTCCCTTTTTATACTCAATGAGAAATGACACCTCTGTCAAATATCACAATAACCAACAACCTGTTGAATTTTTCATAAATCGCATTGAACTTTCACTATGAGAAGGAAAGCGGGAATGCGGCTTATTGTTTTTAGTGAAAGTTTGTTTTTAATCCAGGTGCTTCAGTGATGTGTGCTGAGGAATAAACTTTAACAGATTGTCAAGTGGCTGCTGTTGTTGGTGACCATGATGAACAGACAATAGGTGGAGTGGGAGAGTGAAGCGCTCTTCATAGTAATTGGCCTGTACTGTTAGTACGTGGGTTGTGCTTAAGTATGGCACTTTTTTTACCCTTTCTTTTTCTAACTATCTAAACTTTACTGGGTACTAGAACGTAAAGCCACGTTTACCTTGTTGAGCAGCTTTGGGTGTATAATGTAGCATAACAAAAGCCTGCGTCATCTCCGACCTGCTCCTCTCACCAAGACCTGGATCAAACCATGTGACAATGCTACCCCATCTGCTCTCTCAATTAACCACAGTTTCTTCCACACTTCTCGTGCATCTGGCCGAGGTGGTGGAACGGGCATGTTAATTTCCAACAAATGGATATACAGTCAGTTGCTACCCATCACTAAATACAACTCCTTTGAATACCATGCCAACCAGGTAACTGTACCGAAAAAATTATTTTTGGTTGTCGTATATCACCAACCATGTCAACTCGTAGACTTTCTTGATGAACTCGACACCCTGCTCTCCTCCTTTCCTGTCCCACAATGGTCCTTGGAAACATGAATATTCACCTGGACAATCCCAGCTCGTCAGGCTTCCTGTCACTAATGTCATCATTTGATCTAAAACTAGTAGAAAGTCCTCCAACTCACAAAGCTGGAAAAGCACTTGACCTCATTTTCACCAGAAACTGTGCCATAGACACACTCTGTCACAACGCTGCATCTTTCCGATCATTACTTCATCCATTTCAGCACGACTCTCCAAGGGAGGTCCACTGCTTCCTCCCCAATGGTCTCATTCCGCCACAACCTCCGCAATCTGGCACCCAACCACTTCTCCTCTCTTGTTGCCTCCACTCTTCCATCTCCCAGCACATTCTCTGCTTATGAAGTGAATGATGCTACCGAGCCACTCTGCTCCACACTCTGCTCTTGTCTTAACAACTTGTGCCCTTTAGCCACTAGACCTGCTAGACACTCTCAGTCGCACCCTTGGCTAAATGATACCCTCCGGTCTCTACGCACCATTCTTAGAGCTGTGGAACGGAAATGGCGCAAAACAAAATATCCTGGTGATCAATTGAAATTTCATGAATTACTGTCCTCATTCTCTGCCAGCATCACTGATGCAAAGAAAGCTTTCTACACTGACAAAATTCTCAGCTCTACTGACTCTCAGAAGCTATTTTCGACATTCAAAACTCTGCTCAACCCTCCGTCTCCACCTCCTACCAACAATCTATCAGCTGACACCTTTGCCTCATTCTTCACTGACAAAGTGGCAGCTATAAGCAAACAGTTTACTCAACTGGCCACTCCTGAACATTCGCTACCACAAACTCCTTCTAGCCCAACCATCTCAAGCCCCACTGCTTCATTTTCCTCTTTTTCCCCTCTCACTGAGTGTCCAAGCTTCTCACGTGCAGCCGCCCTACTACATGCCCACTCGACCCCATTCCGACTAAGCTGCTCCCAGCTATTGCTCCTACAGTAGCCGCAGCAGTCACACATGTGATCAACGCTTCACTGACATCCGGTACATTTCCCACCTCTCTCAAGCATGCTCAGGTTAAACCGCTACTAAAAAAAACCCATCTCTTCCTCCTAATCATGTGAACTACCGACCTATCTCTCTCCTCCCTTTTCTGTCCCAAATCATTTAAAGGGTGGCTTTCAAGCAGATCACAGAATACCTCTCACAAAACTGTCTGCTTGACCTGTACCAATCTGGGTTCAAAAAGGGCCACTCCACTGAAACGGCTCTGTTAGCAGAGAAGGAATCCTTAAAAGAAGCTAGAGCGATTGCCAAATCCTTAGTGCTTATCCTGCTCGACTTATCGGCTGCATTTGACACTGTCAACCATGGCTTCCTTTTGTCCACACTCTCTAGCATGGGCATCACAGAGAAAGCATACGCCTGGTTTGAACCGTACCTCACAGGATGATCATTCAGTGTTTCTTGGCTTGGACAATCCTCTACCGTGTACAATCTTGCCACTAGGGGCTGCATGACTTAATTTTTTTTTAAAGTCAACTGTCAATTAATGAAAATTGAGTCGACTTTGACTAGGCGTTGATGACGTCATACACCTGAAGCGGCGCGGGGGTGGTCGGTTGGTTCGCTGGAGTTTTCTTTGACAATTAAAATTGCGCCCACATTTTCAAAGTTAAACACTTTTTTTTAACAACGGTAGTTTCTGCTTCAGCCCTCTCCCCCCTCCTCCTGCGCAGCGGCCACAAACTCAATCGTGCGCCTGCATTCTCTCAGAGTTCCTGCTGCTCTAAACATTAAAATAATTATTTCATTTTCTGTTCCTCACTTCTGATTACCTTCAATGGTGTCTTGTTGCAACCACCAGGTACAAAAACTAACTTGTTTTTATTTGACTATTTTTCTGTCTTGTCTGTTTATTATCTTCCTGCATCTCCTCTCAATCCTAACGAAAAACTGCTACATGGCTTACCTTTGAATTGCAGTTAAAAAAGATCTACCGACCGCAAAAACAGCGTGGTGCGTGCCGGCCGCACCGGTGAGGTGCGTCACCGGAGGACAAGGTGATGCGCCCCGCTCCACAGCAGCGAAACGCATCAGGCACAATTAAAAGACAGAACATAAAAGGATATGAGCCGACATGAACGATCGCGTGTTAAATTTGTTTTTGAGGTGGCGGCACCTTATTTGATAACGTTACTGTGGCCGTGCTCAGGACGCAGATGTCTGGAGCGCGTCAACAATCAGAGCTTTGCATGCGCAAGCTGGGTAAGTTTAGGATGGGGGTGAGGGGAAGGTTAAATTGTAATAGGGTAAAGGTCACAATTTGGTCAAATGTCCGTTTTACGGCGGGTGTCAGATACCAACGCTCTGGCTTAGCGCGTCTCCTCCCGACGGGCAGGAGCTCGTCACCTGCTGTCGTTTCCGAGGACTGTATCTTGCCGTTCATTATCACGTGACAGCGACTAGTAGACGACAAGCATAAAAAGTCACTACAGAGCAGTGAGGTCGACTAGTTCATACAACCCCTACTTGCCACAGGAGTCCCCCAGGGCTCTGTACTAGGAACTCTTCTCTTTGCCATATACACCACCTCACTGGGTGAGATCATTCGATCACATGGCTTCTCCTACCACTGCTATGCAGACGACACCCAGCTCTATCTGTCATTTCCACCAGGTGACCACACTGTCTCTGCACTATTATCAAACTGTCTCTCTGACATATCGAAATGGATGAAATCCCTCCATCTCCAACTCAACCTCTCTAAAACTGAACTACTTGTCATCCCAGCAAAACCATCCATACAGCACAACATCTCAATCCAAAATGACTTCCTATCTCTGGCTCCTTCAAAGGCAGTTTGATATCTGGGCTTTGTGATTGATGAACACCTGACCTTTAAAGATCATGTTGCCTCTGTATCTCGTTCATGCCGCTTTGTGCTGTATAACATACGAAAGATCACACCATACCTAACACAACATGCCACCCAGCTCCTGGTGCAATCTACTGTCCTCTCCCACCTCGATTACTGCAATGCCCTTCTAACTGGTCTTCCAGGCTGTACTGTGAGACCTCTTTAAATGGTCCAGAATGCAGCGGCGCGTCTGGTCTTCAATCAGCCAAAAAGAGCACACGTCACCCCTCTTTTCACTGAGCTCCACTGGCTACCACTAGCAGTACGCATCAAATTCAAATAGCTAACATAAACATACAAAGTCCGAGATGGTACGGCTCCCATCTACCTGAATCCTCTTGCAAAGGCTTACGTCTGGGTGCTGTTTAAGGCTGAAACACCCTTAAACAGCGCCCAAGAAGCAGCCGCACCTCTAGTAGAGTGTTCCCTGACCCCTAGGGGCAGCTGGGAGCCAGTGACACTGTAACCACAGGGAAATGGCCTCCACAGTCCAATGAGAAAGTCTTTGCTTTGACAAAGCTTTACCGATGGAGGGTTTGGCAAAGCACAAAACAGTTGGTCTGTTTTTCTGATATAAGCCTACAGAGCACGAACCGGGCACAGACAATACAGTCTCCTCTGCTCCTCAGAGGCAAATGGAGGACTACTGAAGCCCGAAAGCTCTATAGTCATGGAACTGTAACCCAGAAGCTAGAACCTTAATGAGGTATTAACTAATTGGCTTACTAATATGATCCATCCTCAATTTAGATAAAATATAAAATATAAATTAAAGAAATTAACAATACTAATTAATAGATATCTAATTAACTAATAGATAATTTCATAATGAATTATTGGAAGGGTGAATAACTAAAATAACGAGTTTAATATTAAACATCGGTTAAAACAAGAATCTTGAACATCACTAACAGAAACAGAAGAGGAAAGCTGTATACTATTGGTCCAGGTGGGAATCTGAAATTTCATTGGCTGAGAGAAATAAGTCCCGCCTCCGCGAAATAAAACCGTGCGACGCAGCTGAGCGAGAGGAGAGACAAACGGCTGTGCAGCACGCAGATACAGAAAGCAAAGACTGAGCGGTTAGAGAGAGAGAGAGAGAGAGAAAAAAACAACGGTCGAGGCCGTGAAGAACCCTGATTTGGGTGCCGCATAGATAGAGGGAGAGGCGGACTTGACTCCTTCTAATAAGAGCTAGGAACTTGGAACCAACGCGATTTGTGTGGAGACGACAGAGTGAACCAATCCTCTGTAGGAGGGAACCGTTGGAGCGCGTTGGCTGGGTTTTTTTTTTCCTTGGGTTTGATCCCGA